AAAAAAAAAAAAAAAAAAAAAAATTTACAGTCTCTAAAAAAAGATTATAGTGTATTTAACAAAAGTAACTGAAAAACTGCTAATTTTAATACTTTCTGATAAAGCTCTATATGTTTTAACATGAAAGGACCTCCAAAACACATCAATGAAAAACATAAGCTATACGACATTATAAATAGTATGTTATTTATTTTAAAAAGAACAAACATGCTAATGCTCATACAAATACATAATTTTATACTACATGAAGACATGATTATGCCCAAAGGTCTGGAAGAATTTATACGAAAGTAGTAGGTCATCTCTAGAAAGATAACTGAGATCAGAGATGGGAATCAAGAAATCAAAATTTTCTAGAATCATTTGCCACTTTACATAATAAAAAGATGAAGAAGATAATTAATACAATGTGTAACATCAAGCAGCTCACGCAGATGACTGTATGAGAACTCCTTTTTTTTTTTTTTTTCAGCTGGGGCTGGGATTGAACCTGCCACCTCTGGCATATGGGGCTGGTACCCTACTCCTTTGAGCCACAGGCGCTGAATGAGCACTCTTTTGTTTTTAAAAAAAATTTTTAATGTATATACTTTAGGCATACACCATGATGTTTTGACATACACAGTGAGACATATAGTTAGGCAAATGAATATACCTATCCTCTCACAAGGTCACCCTTTGTGTATGTGTAATATGAGCACCAAAAGTCTACTTTACCATATAATATTGTAACTATAGTCTTCATGTCGTATCTTAGATTTCAGATTTATTCATCTTTCACATTTGCAATTTTGTCTCCTTTTTCCTACATTTCCCTACTTCCTACAGCCCTGCCCCACCCCTGGTAAAACCTCCTCTTTGTTCTCAATAATTGTCAGATGAGATTCACGATTCCACTCACCAAGTGAAACACATAAAGGACAAATAAACCCACTAACCATTGGTAAACTGGGCATAATTATAATCATAATAACTAACTTGTCAATTAAAAACTTTCTTTACTATCCAATAGTGCTATTTATTTATATTTAACATTACACAGAGAAAGACCCAAAAAGCAGCAGTGAGAACAGGAATGACTAAGAAAGAAAAAACTGAGATGAAGAATACAAAAATGGGGGCAGCACCTGTGGCTCAAAGGAGTAGGGCGCCAACCCCATATGCCAGAGGTAGTCGGTTCATTTAATCTTCACAAAACCCTGTAAGATAGGCACTATTACTATCTACTCACATTTTAGGGATGAGGAAA